ATCCTCCCAATAACATGTACAAGTCCCAAGGATTTCCAGTCTGGAGATTTGCCATCTTTAATTCCATGACAACGTTTGACAATATAAATGGTATTCATTTGGGGGGGTGGTTGTTTATTTTTACGACTCCAGCAACTGCAGATTTTTGAATTCTCAGGCTCTTTGGCAGCTTCACGGAAGTTCTCAGCTCTTCAGGGCCTCTGTCATTCCACATATGCCTGCCCTGCACTCATTTATCCCTTTTCAGGTAAAGCCACACCAAGTGACTGGAAGTGGAGACTGAATGGTTCTCTAAAGAGCTTTTGCTAGAATTTGTGGGGAGGATAATGTTATTTTCTATGTAGTTGCTTAGCATCAGAATATAAGCTTAGAGTTGAGGAGGCTTCTTCATTGAAACAGCATCTGAGGGTGAAGCCAACATAGAAGAAAGCAGAACAGAGAGAGTGATTCCAATTGAGACCTTTTGAGCACCTGGATCCAGCTGTGCCTGAAGTAGTACCTTTGCAGTGCAGGAGGCATTAAATTATCATTTATGTGGGATATACATAGTGTTTGAGAATCAGGTTGTCTAGATTTGAATCTTGAATCTGCCACTTATTATCTGTATGACCTTGGGCAAGACATTTAACCTCTCTGGTCCTCAATATTCTCAATCATAAAATGAGGTAATAATAGTGTCTATCTCATAGGGTTGATATGAAGATAAAATGAGTTAACATATAAGAAGCATTTAGAATAGAATCTGGCATTTTGGTTGCTATTTTTAAAAATTATTCGTATCAGTTAGTATGTTGCAGTAACAAACAGTCCCAAAATTTTAGCAGCTTAAAACAACAAATTTTCATATTTTGCACATATTCCTTATCCAGTGTAGATCAGCAAGCATTGTGCTTATTGTAGTTACTCAGGAATCCAAACTGATAGGGCAGCTGCTAACTATAATGTTGCTGGTCACCATGACAGAGGGAAACAGCTTTAAAAAGGATACACTGGCTTTTGTCCAGGAGGAGGTATATGTCACTTCCACTCACATTTCATTGGCCAAACCAAGTCATATGGCCACACTCAGCTTCAAAGGGGAGGGAAGGGAAGTCCTGCCAGGTTCCCTATTGACTACCACATTATTATTAGTATGTCATAACTGGTTGAGTATTGGACACTTGCAACTGAAAGATTCACAAGTAAATAAGAAATCATATTTCCCTGGTTGTATACTCAGCAGGGACCAGGTGCTATAAGCCAAGCTCTTATTAACCCCCTTCTCTCTAATTCACTCTGGCCACTTTGAAGCCTGTTGGTCCTACCCATCCATCATCCAGGTGTCAGGACCGTGTCACTGGTGTTTTCAGTAGTCACTGGCTGGTTAAACCCCAGAAAAGTGGAAAGAAGTTGTATGATTGGACCAGAGTCAAAAGCCAACAGAAGAAAGTATTAAGGAAAAAAGAGAGAAATCTGTCCTTGGGAGAGACGGTGTCTTAAGGTCAGGTTCCCTAGAAGTACAGTTGTGATGGCGACTCAGGTGCATGTGATTAAGTGAGGGAGACTCTCAGGAGAGAAAGGGAGTGGGGGAGGCTGGGGAGGGCAGAGGATGTGAAGTCAGCCTGATCCCATGGGCAGCTCGGGAGTGTGAGTTCCCCCATAGAGGGGCTCATGCCTTGAGGCAAGGGACTCGCCTGTTATAGCCTATTGCAATCAGTCACTGGCAGTAGGCTGCCCCAAAAGGGGAGAGTTAACCTTCTGGGCTGAGCAGCAATTCCTGGAGAAGGGGCAGCCGTGAGCTGCCAGCATCCAGCACTCACAGCGGCTGGGGGATGGGTGCAGCAGCCCAAGCAAGGCGATTTGGATGGGGCACCAACAGCATCCACCACAGGCAGTCGGGAAAGCACTAATAGGAACCATCTGCCCCTATTCCTCCTACCAGATGAACTGCACTTCAGAAGCATGGAAAATACTGACATCTGTGGGGTAAGAAAGGGCATCCAGGGGTCCCTCATTTATCTCCGAGATTAAATATAAATTTTACCACCAACCTCTATTTCCAGGCTTATGTCCCAAGACTCTCACAAACCTAGTCTATGTGCAAAGTCACCTGGAAACTTGCTCTTTTATGAATCACCCCCCGTGCCTTTGCTCCAACTCTTTTCCCTCTTCTGCCAAGAGTGCCCTCTCTTCCCCTAGACCTGTGAAATTCTATCCACACTTCAAGGCCCTCTTGAATACTGACTGCTTCATAAAGCTTTTCTTAATCACTTGACAGGATATGAGGTTTTTCTTCTTTGAAACCTCAAAGCCCTGACTTTCTGCAGTGGGTTTCATTCTATGAATTTGAGTCATTTGATAAGCATTATTCCCCAAATCTTGTACGAACTCTTCAGGAAGAATGCCATCTTTTTCTTTTTACAGCATCTGGCAAACACCCTAAATAATAAAGGCACTTAATTAGTATGTGTGTAACTGAATATCTACTTCGATGAGATTAAACATCCGTGCATGATTGCAGCCTTTTGTAATCACCCAGAGCTGACGTTTGCTGAGTACTTGCTATGTGCTGTGCATGAAGTATTTTCTTTGCATTAATGATCTCCACCCCACAGATAAGAAACTAAAGCTCAGAGAGGTCATGCAACTTGCCCAAAGCCACATAGGTAGCAGGTGGTAGATTTGATACAGGAAAAAACAGATGTGGGGTGAGAAGAGGTCTGTGTCCCAGGTCTCCGTTGAGTCCCTGGGATGTGTCCCGCCAAGTCTGGGTCCTTGGTTTTGTGCAGGGAAGAATTCATGAATGAGCCACAGTTGAGTAAATGTAGACTTATTTAGAGAGACACATACTACATAGAGTGTAGGCTGTTTCAGAAGGCGAGAGAAAGGCCACAAGGTGTGGGGGTTGGGAGCTCAGGTTAAAGTAAAAGTAGACACACACTCCATAGACAGAGTATGGGCCACCTCTGGAGATGAGGAAGAGAGAGGCAGCCACCAGGTGTGGTGTTGCTAATTTTCATAGGCTTGGTAGCTTCACATGCCAACAAGTGGGAGGAATTCCAACTACCCTGGGGAAGGGGCTGGGATTCCCAGGATCTGGACCACTGCCCAATCTTTGACCTTTTATGGTTTGCCTTGGGGCGTCATGGCGCCTGTGGGCATGTTATTTATCATGCTAATATATTACAATGAGCGTGTAATGAAGCTCAAGGTCGACTAGAAGTCAAATTTCCCGCCATCTTGATCTTCAAGGCCTACTGGGGTTGAATGTTCCACCATTTTGATGTTAATTGCTGTGTCATTCCTTGAATGGCTGTGCCCTGCCCCTTTCCCTCCTGTCTCAGATTGAGTGGGACTTAGGTTTGTCTTAATTTAGAGACAATCACAGGCTTGCAATCAGAAGACGTGGATGCCTTGTTGGGCACAACCCTTAACAAACCTGGCAGAGACTGGCAAGTCTCCTGAGCAAAGAGCTAGAACAGTGCTTCTCTGGTTTCAATGTGCACATGATCACCCAGGGCTCACTGAGAACGGGGAGACCAACCAAAAACACACCCAAACACACAACCCATGTAGCACCATGTGAGAACTTCTGCAATAGAAATATGCCTTCACTGAAAAGAAGGTGAGAACCCAGCAGAGGTGGAGATGGAAGCAAGGGAAAATGCCTCTAAAAAACTTACTCGAGAGTTGAGTCTTAAGGATGAGGGAGGTGGCCAGGTAAACGGAAGAAAGGGAAGAAAGAGCATTTCAGTTGGTGGGTTCAGCACATGCAAAGTTAAGGAGGTGAGAGGGTCCTGCGGCATTTGGGGAACTGTCAGTGGCTGAATGTGGCCAGAGAACAGAGTGAGGTGCCACTGGCAAGAGCCCAGGCTGGGGATGAGGAGGAGGGCAGATCCAAGAGGCATCATCACTTCACACCAAGGAGAAGGGGAACCAGCAAGGACTTCAAGGTGAGTGACAGTGTCAGCCTGACCTCCAGAAGTTTCCTTCCCACTGCTCTCAGGGAGACTGTATAGATGGGACGGAGGTGGGGCTGCTCAACTTACCTTAGAGGAGGGGGCTTCTGGGTCCCAACCAACCTCACTGCCTGGGCGCCCACAGCAGATGGATGTCCCAAGGATTCAGACTGCACATCCAGGCTTTTCCAGAGTTAGGGAGGCACAGAGCCACACCGTCGCACCAAACCAGCACTTGTGAGGAAGGACCTCAGGACGTGGAGTAGAAGGGAAGGGAGTACAAATCAAAGGCGAGTGTGCAAGGCAGCCCCACCCCAGGATCAGCCTCAGTTATCTCTTTACTAGACATTCAGTTCTCAACCTTTTTTCTGATGAGACATGCAAGGCACTGGACCTACACCAGCCAGACTCACATCGACACACCCAGGGTTCTACACATTTCCAGGAGCCACAGTCCTTGCGGATGAGAGTGACATTCACCAAGGGAGACCCGTGAGCTCACTCTAATTCACAAAAGAAGTAAATCATGCAGCACCCTGATATTTTCCCCATTGCTGGGAGTAGATTACAAGCTTGGATGTCAAACAGTCTCACGTTCCCATTGACTCCCTCACTTACAGGCTGTGTGGCCTTGATTAATGTACTTAAATTATTTGAGCCTCAGCTTTCTCATCTGCAGAATGGGTGTGATAATAGAACTCCCACCATGGAGGGTTCATCGATAGGGCTGGATCCAGTTATTCAATCTAAAGGCTTGGCTGTGTGCATGGTACCTGGTAAATACTCAATAGATAATAACTACCTTATTATTGATACTTTCTTATCCTTTTAACAATATGCCTCCCAGCTGATTGGAACACACCAGTGTGTAATGACACTGTGCTGCAAATTTGTGTATTAGAGAAAGGAAAACCATTTTGTATACATGACTCCTAAGTGACTTACATTTATCCTTGAAAGTCAGCACATTGTTTCTTTTAAAACATATTGTTAATTCAAAACTTGAACTAATTCACCAGCCTTCCCCTCTGCTCCCAATCAGCAAGACTTTTAGGAACTGGGTTGTTACAGATTCTACACTAAAATTCAACTTTAATTTCCTATGATAGAGCCATCATTCTCAAGAGCTGCTGGGTGAAAACCCTGTCAACGGTGAGGCAGAAGGAGCTAGAAGTGGCTTCTTGAGCATCACCAGAGGGAATATGAGTCCTGATCCTTCAGCAGCCCGCACGCCTGGGCTCCACGTGGCCTGGAGTCTCGGCCTTTCCCAGAAGTTGTTTCTCTCCACTACCCATTGGGGCAGGAATATCTTGATTAAGAAGATCCTCTTTAAAGGTCTCCTCATCTGAAAAAAACAGGAACGCTGTCCCCTCATCCCTCAAAGGATTGGATTAGTTGGGTTGTTGACAGGTCCCCCAAAGACGAACAAGAGATTCCACTGCCTGATTTGAGCCATTGTCACCTGGGACAATGGGCTTTTCACTCCTCCTGCATAGCCCACCCTGACCTTCCAGCACAGTCTCTCTACAACAGAGATCCCTCCGAAAATGCAATCTGGCTTCTCCCTCCCAGGTCAAGAACTCTCAGTAGAGCTCTGTGACTCTAAGAGCAGAACATTCTCCAGCTCACAAAGCCGGTGTGCAGATTGTGCCCTGCATCTGGACCCTTCCTGCCCTCTGGGTCCAGTCATGCCAACCCTCGGGACGTCCTTCCAAGGTGTGGACCCCACCCCCACCTCTGCCTGTGCTGACGTCTCTGCTGAGCCAACACCCCCGTCCTCCTCTCCCATCTCTGTCCACCTCGGCTCTCGCTGCTAATGTCACTCCCTTGAGGAGGTCGCTTTTGACCCCCCAGTAGCTCCTATGCTCTCAGGGCTCCTTGTTCTGACCCTCTATCAGCCTTATCACTGCCTCCTTGAGTGGAAAATCAGCTTCCTGAGGGCAGAGACTGTTTTGCTTCCCTCCTTTTTCCCAGCACCTATTGGTTCTGGTGCCCAAGTGACATCTGATAGAGAATCAATAAATATTTTCTTTTAAATAGCATTCTTATGTGAATGTTAGGGACTCAGATGAGGAGCTCCGTTTTCACCAAGAGAAACGAAGCAGAAGAGTTAGCGATGTCATTGAGTTGATTGTTAGAGACTGAACTATTCCAGTGACAAGTGCAGATCTGCCTAGTCCTTTGAATATTATGCTGGCAGGGGTTACTTACCATAATCCTAACGTTCCCTTCAGCCTCTCAAACCCATTCATTGTTAGGAGCCACTGGTCATCATTTCTTCCCCCATGAAGTCTTTGGTCTCTTTGGGGCAATTATGTCACCAAAAACAATTTTGATGGAAATCAAGTGAGACGGAGGCAATCAGTGGAAAAAGATTTTCTCTGTCATCCGATTTCCCTTATTTACCTCTCTTGGGTCTGGGAGTCAGGGTGGGTGTGGGGAAGGGGAGGAGATGCCCTAAAACTTGCCACTCAAAATATTACCAACCCATATTAAGTACAGAAAATGTTAAGTACAAAATGTTACCAGCTTATGTTAAGTCTAGAAACTTTTAGGGCAATTTGACATTGCCATGACATTCAAGAACACAGTCAATGGGCCTGACTCAGTGAACAGGGCAACAGGGGCCACTTCAAGTGCGGCTGAACTTGGATACTGAGTCATGTACAGTAGGACAACAGACTCTTCCTCAATATTTTGGAAAATTTCAAAAACTAGCCCTTCAACCACAGATAGTTTGAAAAACATGTTATAAAAGATGATGTAGCCTTGGTCATGTTGTAAGGAGAAGTCAAGACTTCAAGAAGTACTTTAGCCAAGACATGGAAACAACCTAAATGTCCATCGACAAATGACTGGATAAAGAAGTTGTGGTATATTTATACAATGGAATACTACTCAGCCATAAAAATAATAAAATAATGTCATTTGCAGCAACATGGATGGACCTGGAGAATATCATTCTAAGTGAAGTAAGCCAGAAAGAGAAAGAAAAATACCATATGATATCACTTATATGTGGAATCTAAAAAAAAAAAGAGAGAGAGACAAATGAACTTTTTTACAAAACAGAAACAGACTCACAGACATAGAAAATAAACTTATGGTTACCAGTGGGGAAGGGGGTAGGAAGTGACAAACTGGGAGTTTGAGATTTGCAGATATTAACTACTATATATAAAATAGATAAACAACAAGTTCATAGTGTATAGCACAGGGAAATATATTCAATATCTTGTAGTAACTTATGGTTAAAAAGAATATGGAAATGAATATACGTATGTTCCTATGTGACTGAAGTATTGTGCTATACACCAGAAACTGACACATATTTATAAACTGACTATACTTCAAATATATATATATATGTATTTTTTAAAAGAAATACTTTAAAACTAAGAAACATCTAAAGGCAGAAATGTAAAGGAAAATAAAAGAATGGTCACTGTCCATTGCAGTGGGTCATGGAAAAAGTCCTTGGAGTTGAATCTTGAGTTGGGTCTAGAAAGAAATTATTGGCAAATATTGAGGAACAAGGGGTAGGAGGGCATTTCAGGGAAGAAGCAGCACATAAGCTAAGGCTTATGGAGATTATGCAGGACGTGTGAAGGGCATACACATTCCTTGCTCATTAAACAGAAATAGTTAAGTAAAGAGACTGGGTTCTACCATTTGGCAATCATCACAATGATCATTGATTTGGGCAAAAGCATCAAAATGGTATGAACAGTGGAAAGTTTGAGAAAAAGCAGAATATTTATATAGTCCCAAAGTGTCTGTCCTCCAGATTCTTATTAATGACAAAGCAAACATTGCAACCCTACGGTGGAGAAACCTGGCAGGCACCACCTCAACTAAATGATCAAAGTTAACGTTACAAGTTAAGAGAAAAATCAACATCATGTGCCTCCTGTTATGAGGCAATGGGAAGAATGCAACATCATATTCGTGTTATTTCTGCCAAAAAATGTTCATCTGAATCTACTCATGAGAAAACATCAGGCAAATCCCAACTGAAACCATTCTATAAAGTAGCTGAATTGTATTCCTTTTTTTTTTTTTGAAAGTAGAAAAGGAATTTATTAGGTTACTCTGCCATAGACAACAGCAAGCCACACAGCTGAGAGGTGCCTGTGTGAGCCCTGAATTGTATTCTTCAAAATATCAATATCATGAAAGACAAAGATGAAGGAACTGTTGCAAATTCAAGGAAACTGAAGAGATATGACAGCTGAATGCAATGTATGATCTGCAATTTTTTTTTTTTTGCCTTAAAAGATATTATTGGGCCAACTGGTAAAATCTGGATAAGGTCAGCCCTTTAGATAATGATATTGTATGAATGTTAATTTCCTGAATGTGATGATCATACTACCATTCATAAATAAAAAGCTCTAATTTTTTAGGAAATACACACTGATATATGTAAAGAGGCATCGTGTTTCCAACAGTTCAAAAAATATATAGTAAGTATGAGGTACAGAGAGAAATCGAGATAGAGAATAAAGCAAAGTGTAAAATGTTAACATTTGGGACATACTGGTGAAAGGTATATGAGGTTTCCTTGTACTATTCTTGTAACTTTTCTGTGAGTCTGAAATTATTTCAAAACAAAAAAGTGCAAAGGAGAGAAGAGAGCCCCTGGGCTCCAGTCCCTGCCTGACCCGGAGTGAGTTCAGTGTCCCCACCCACTGGATCCCTTCCTGCCTTCTCCAGCCCTTCCAGTTGGAGGCCTCATGCCTTGGCCTCTCTTCACCCAGATCCTCCCAGCTTATTTCTGGATTTACACCTTCCCTCCTCTTCCTGTCTAATATTTCTTTCAGACTACACCCTGATAGCTGATCTCTTTGGCTGGATGCCCCTTGAGATCTGAGGCAGCACTGCAATGTTCTGTCTGTGTCTTCTGCTGGCCCACTTTGCCAATCCCTGATTATGCTCCAGACAGATCAAGATAATTAGCATTTATCGAAGGCCTGGCACTGTATGTTATCATCCCAATAACCTAACTCAGCTTCTCTGCTGAGTGCAGTTGTCTCGCTATCATCTCCGCCTAAATCCCGGGGGCTCCAAAGCCATTTTTGACCAGAGGAAGTGCACTATTTAGAGGGTGGCCCTATCCATATAATTTTGAGAAGACTGAGGGCCACTTAGATGTCACATGGACCCCACCTGATTGTCTACTAACTCTATGGATTACAGAGCTAGAATTTTTGGCCTCAGGTCCTCACTGTTCCATGGAGGATCCACTTTAGACTGACTGTCTCATCTCTGTCTCCACTGCCTGAGTATCATTAGAGCTGAAAATATCTGTACCTCCATGCCAGAGATCTCGCACACTTGAAATAAACAGGAGAATGCTCCTTCTGAATTCCACTCAGTTACAGTGAGAGTTCAGGGGTCCCGCAGTTAGTAACAATTTGACCCACCAACTGAAAGAACTAGAAAAAGAAGAACAAAAAACCCCAAAAGGCAGCGGAAGGAAGGAAATTACAAAGATTAGCAAGGAAATAAATAAAATAAAGATTTTAAAAAACATAGAAAAAATCAATCAAACCAAAAGCTCGTTTTTTGAAAAAATAAATAAAATCGACAAACCTCTGGCCAAACTCACAAAGAAGAAAAGAGAGAGCACAAATAGGCAAAATAAGAAAGGAAAATGGAGAAATTACAACAAATAAAATAGAATACAGAATGTCATACGAGAATATTATGAAAAACTATATGGAACCAAACTGGATAACCTAGAGGAGATGGACAAGTTTCTGGAAACATACAGTCCATCAAGACTGAACCAAGAAGAAATTGACCACTTGAACAAACCAATCACTAGAAATGAAATAAAAATAGCAATAAAAAACCTCCCTACAAATAAAAGTGCAGGACCGGACGGCTTCACTGGGGAATTCTACCAAACATACAAAGAAGAACTCATACCAGTCATTCTCAAACTCTCCAGAAGA